ACCGCTGGATCCAGAAGAACGGCGGCTACATCTGGATCCAGTCCAGCGCCACCATCGCCATCAACGCCAAGAACGCCAGCGAGAAGAACATCATCTGGGTCAACTACGTGCTCAGGTCAGGGGCCGCCACAGCAACCGCCTCCCAACACCACGGCAACCGTTCTGATTGGTTCCCACGGTGTCACGTACAAACATCTAGGAGGAGAACAAGTGCAGTTATTGAATTAAAGCCGACTCATTCAATTAGCAGAAATAGTTTATTATGCAAAAGATAAACAGTGTCAAAAAAAAGTTTCATAAATATTTCTAATTTCTGATGTTTTTTATTTGCAAAAACTAAATATTCCGAAGTTTAATTTAAGTTTAATGTACGTTTCGTTCTGTAGTTTCACTGAATGCATCTCTGCAGCCGGATTCACATCATTAATTAGAATCCAATTATAAACGTTCAGTTTCAGGATTTTTGCAGGAAGCTCTGAACATTTAGCCGAAATAACTAAACGTAGAAGAGACTGAAAGCGAAGCTGAGGATGGACATTTGGCTGACTTCAGTCATATTTGGTGCATGTTTTTTATAATTTAACTAAAGACCCAGAGTTCAGATTAACATCGAGGATGATTTAATAAAGTCAGGGTTTGTTTCAGAGCCGATTTTCATATTTAGAACAAATAATTAAATATCTGCACAAAAACAAAAGCTAAAAATGTGCTTTACCAATTTCTTAAGAGGTTTGGAGTCAGATTCACGTGTTAAGGCATTATTATAAATATTATTCATGTTGTTGTTGATATTGAAGGGAAATGTTCACATTACAGACATTACATTAGATTTAAGGACACTGCAGAGAGAAATAGTTAAAAGAAGAGACAAAAACAAAATAAGCAAATTTCAGCTCAAAGTTTTCTGAACATTTCAGGAATAACCTGCTTCCTTTTTCATTTAACTGAAGCAGTCGATTATAAAACAATGAATCAAGAAGACGCCGTTTGCATCCACTTCATCTTTATAACTACGATTCTTTCTAATGTTTTTATCTCGTTTGGATCCGTCAGTGGGAACCAGTGAGCAGATGTTCTGCTGATAACTGACTGAACCCATCGTCTCTGTGTCTCCTCAGTAATCCGGAGTATAAGGACACACCGATGGACATCGCTCAGCTGCCAAACCTGCCTGAGAAAACCTCCGAGTCGTCTGAAACCTCCGACTCCGAGTCCGAGTCCAAAGAAAACTCAGGTACGTGAGACGAGCAACACGTGACTCAGAGGAAACCTGTTGAACACAGTCGTCAGACCCGACTCCTCACCAGCACCTCTCCAAACCCGCAGCAGTCAGAATCAGAGCTGAAACACAACGTGGAGATGTTTTATCGGCCGGTGCCAGCCGGGCGGCGCTGCCAGGCGGCTCGGTCACCGATCCAACAGCTGCAGGGACCGAAGGCTGCTGGCAGCCGCCGCTCGCCTCCGACGACGACGCGAGACGACACGGAGCGCAACAAAATACCTGCAAACACCACACAAACGAGAGAAACGCCTCGAGAAGAGGCCACAAAGCTCAGAGCGGAGCAGAATCCAAAAACCCAGCACAGAACCAGACGAGAACCAGACGAGCCCAGAAGCTGCGGCGCTGCCAGCTCGTCCTGCTGCCAATATTCATTAATCATAATGAACTATGCTGGGAAATAATGCAGATACTGTCAATACCTCAGTCTGAACACAACCACTGCTGTCGGAGAGAAATCAGGATTCATCGCCTGTAAAAGGGACGGTGTCTTATGAAAGATAATATTTATGATCAGAACCAGAACCAGAACCAGAACCAGCTTTAACGGCCAAGTATGGACACAGCATACAAGGAATGTGGTTCCAGCTGTTGGAATGAGCAAGAGGAGAATAAAAAATGAAAAGTAAAACAACTATAGAAAGAAAAAAATTAAAATAAAATAAAATAAATAATAAAAATAAAATAACAAATATATACAAGAATGTACACATCTGAGCAGAAAAAAGATATGATGTGATTTAGTTTATAAAAGTAGTTTATAGTTCATAAAATCACTCATTACAGTCAGATTGGTCCTTTCAAAATAGCGAGAGAGAGTCCATCTCTACAGCACAACATGACAGTGACGATGATTTGAAGTTCTGCTGTTGGTTTAAACTTTATTCTAATGGATCTGCTCACAGAACAACCTGGAAAAGAAAATAAGAGTGAAAAATCATGTGTCTAATTAAAAAAAATGAAAGCAAAGTGTAACTGTGGGAAATGTTTCCATTTTTAAAACTGTTAAGATACACTCACAAATGTACCGTACCAGTATTTCCTGTTTATTAGATAAAAGCCTTAACTTTAGGTTTATGACTGTAAAAACGTGAACCGTGAACAGAAAAAGAAGAACCGGTTCTGTTTGTTAAATGAGAAATAAGATGACAGATCTATTCCTATATATGTTTATTTATGCATCTAAATATCCTGCAATGAACATTAAACAGGGAAATAATACACATTTATGTCAAATGAAGGCAGAAAAACCTGTTTTAATTCCATAAACCTCCTGTAGTGTCCCACAGCGGTTGATGTTTGGACACTGAAGCAGCCAAAAGGTCCTGAAAGCGTTTCATTGTAGAAAACTAGGATATGATAATCCTTTATTCATCCCACAGCGGGGAGAACGCAAACACTGAAGAAATGTCAGTAGAAAAATAAAGACAGTAAAAAAACAGCCACTATCTCAGACCATCAGTCGATTCCTGTGGATGTAAACAACACGTCACTGATTGTTTCAGGAGCAGAATCGCTGACAGACGTGTTCACCAGTAAAACATTCTGGTTCTGGTCAGACTGGCTGACCTGAAAACCAGCAGCAGCAGCTTCTCCTCTTCTGGTGCAGACGATGAACTCTGAGTTTGATCTGATCAGGGACCTGCTGTACCTTCAGTCGCTGGGTGGAAATAGAAAGCTGCTGGAGGGACAGTGAAGGAGGACTCACCGGTCTCCTCCAGGCTGATATAACAGAGGAGGCTCTGCTGTCGGTCCTGCAGCGCAGCCCGGTTCCATACTGTCGACCAGATTAATTATTGGAAATAACAGAACCATAATGTTTCCTCTGGAGGACGATCACCTGCCGTGACACGTCTGAATGCAGATCTAGAAACACAGAACCAGCCTCAGCTGTCTGAGTGTGAAGCGAGCTGGGCCTCCACCTTGAGCAGAATATTATCGGGTCCTGCAGCCTGCCTTGGCACGATGCGGGTCGGTGCCAGCTGTTCCTGCTGCTGGAGGAGAGGTTCTGGCTGCTGGCGGCTGCGGACCGATGCCAGCTGCTGCAGGAGGCTTCCAGCTCCGACCGGCCCGAGGAGCTCCGGATCCACGGATTCTAAAATGAGATATCTGCCCTCTGACCTGCCGGGATGTAATCTAGTGGCGCCAGAGAGGACCTGAGCTGAGGAGCCAAACAGAAACAGGCCTTTCTCCTCTTTCTGTTCCTGCAGTGCAACGTGTTATTAGTGATGGACTGAGTCGAACCAGAACTACCAGCAAAGGGTTCATTATGGATCAGTTGGTTTTTATCTAGCGGCTGCTGTTAGACAACCTAAATATGAAAACAGGAGGAACAACAGACGGATTTAACTACAAACTGCTTCACACGTCACCAACAGAACAGAATCTGTCCTGAGAAGTCCAAATTTGACCCGCTGCTGAAAACACTCCCCAATAAATCCACCTCCTGGATGTTCACTAGAAACCACAGCGAGGAGGAAAACACTAAATATTTCTGGGCTTTGTATTTTTAAAGATTTACGGCTACAGTAGGAACTAACAGGAGAACAGGGCTGCAGTGAGCTGCTGCCAGACAGAATCAGAACAGAAACACTGACTGCAAGACAAAAACACCGAATGGAGCTGGATAGAGCTGGATGGAGCTGGATGGAGCTGCCTGGTCACTGAGAAACGCCACTTCCTCACTTTGCAATGGACTCTGTCTAAACCCAGTGTCTGACATTTTAGAAGATTCTAATTTATTTTAAAAAATAAAAGTAAAATAAGATTTTCCAACAGAGTGAATCCTGTCTACAGATGGTTCTGGTAGGTTCTGGAGGTAAAACGGTCCTTCCATTGTCTAGAACTGGTTCTGACCAACCACCATCACACATGCTGATATGAGCCTGGAAAGTTTACCCAGAATGCACTTTGTAAAGTTTCCTCTGGGTCTTTAGGATTCTTTGGTCTGATGAGTCTAAAATTGAACTTTTTGTCAATCAGACACAACAGACACAAAACATCCTCACAAAAACACCATCCCCACCGTGAAGCACGGCGGTGGCAGCATCATGACGTGATAGTACTGATGCATAAAGTTGGTTTAATTAAAAAAAAACTCACAAAAACCAGACCTGGTCTTTACACGGTGACCCCTGGATGGATGTAGAACTGATCTCGTGTCAGGTTCTAGCAGAACTCAGATGTGTTCTTCCTCCTAAATGTCATGTGTCTATCTGCTGTACTGATGAAGTTCTGAGGCTCAGAAATGATGGCAAAAGTGAATCAAAAACAGCAGAATTTGGTCCTGTACCTGAGCATAATCCCAGTATGAAGGTAAAACTTTGCACGGCTTCGTTAAACATACTAAAGTCGTTGTACATAAAATAAATGAGCTGATTTACAGGAAGGTTTTTTCCAGATTTGGTAGATTTTTATGGACCGACCCTCCTGACAAACCCTGATATGTGTGATTTGTGGGCCTCCCTGGTTCTGGGAAACTCTCTAAGCTACGGGTCCATTTTTGACTCCCAGCCTGAGAATAAATCTGTTTTGCTTGGACAGAACACCTAATGGAGATACCAGGTTTCCCCCAGACAAAGCGATTGAGTCGACATTTCGGCTGCCATTAGGGAGAGTGTCGCTGCCAGCTGCTGGCCTCAGTGTGTTCTGGCAGCCTCTACAGCGGGTGTGTGTTGGGAGTGTAATGGGCTGGACAGCGCCAACATGCCTGAACAGCAGCAGCTACAGATACTGAACACACAGCAGCCGATACACAACACATGGAAAATGAAGCGGGAACACCTGAGCTTCTTTACACAGGTATTCAGATACACAGAATCCTCAAAGGAAATGAAACAGCTCAATCACTGGACATGGAGGTGCACGGACTGACCAAAGCATCACATTATGAGCTGGTCAGGTGGAATTCTTACCTGCAATAGGAGGGTGTGTTTCAGTATCCGTACTACCCACTGCTAGTACATATACGGCACAACTCAGAGGGCGTGAAAACAAACAGTACCTACTGGATGTACGTCCAGTTCTATGGACCTGTCTGGTGAGTTTTACTGTGTTGATGTTAGTGGCAGCTGCTTGTCACCTTCTCTGAGTTTAACCTTGAATAGCAGTTGTACGCCTTTTCCCCAGAAAGATGTTCGAGCGTTCAGAACAAAAAAGCCTCAAGTTCCTGCAATGAAAAGCAGCTTGAGGTTCCTCCTGTGGGTACCAAGAAAGTCTTTGCAAAATTTCAATACATTTTATTCTGACCTACCAACTGTCCTTGCAATACCAACAGCCACATTGCTCTGGTGCTGTAGCATGACTGTGTTTGGGTCCAAACCGTCCACAGGCTTACGGTGCAGAACTGAATGAGCAAATGAAAAGAGTCACAGCGATATTTCCAGGTGCATCTAAAACCTTCCTGTGAGACTTTTTAGATTCTTGTTCAACTAGTTCATGTCAGCATTTTTAAACAACTTACCTCTTTGTTCTCAACAGACAATGAGAAGCCCGAGGGGAAGCCGGGTCAGCAGGCAGAACACAGCGAGGATCCAGAGGCCGACAGCAAGCGTCAGCAGCAGCCCGGCCAATCACATTGCTCCTCCGAACAGGAAATGAAGCGCCAGGAAGAAGGCGACAGTTCGAGTAACCCCGAGAGCCAAGACAGTGATGACAGTCTGGAGCCGTCAGATGGAGAAGGGGAGGAGACGGAGGAGGCCAGGGGAGGAGGTGGAGGAGGTGGAGGAGGAGGAGGAGGAGGCAGGTTGGGAAGGTTAACGGGACTGGGAGGACTGGGAACACTGGGTGCCATCAGCGGACTGGGTAACCTGGGCGGGCTCCATATTAAAGTGGAGCACTACGGAGAGGGCGAGGAAGTTCAGCTGCACAACTCGCAGACGTCTTCATCGGAGGAGGAGGAAGAAGAGGAGGATGAGGATGAGGATGAGGAGGAAGACGGAGGTGCGCAGGACTGCGACAGCGCCAACGCCGGCAACAAGCTCCAAAAAAGACGGAAGAGGAGGAAAGTGCAGAAATGGGACGGATCACGAAGCAGGAGGCTCCGTCTGTCCTCGACCACACCGAGTCCTGTCGCGATGGGAGACTCTACGCCACTGGTCGACCAATCCCAGGCCTCCTCCGCCTCCTCTGCCCACCTCCTCGCCGCCTCCGGCTCCCCAAACAGTGCCGCCGCCACATCCTCGGTTCTTAAGATCAAGACCGAGATGGCCGAGCCGATCAACTTTGACAACGACAGCAGCATCTGGAACTACCCTCCCAACAGAGAGATTTCCAGAAACGAGTCTCCGTACAGCATGACGTCCAAGCCGGCCGCCCCCGGTGGCCACGAGACCTTCCCCTCACCGCAGGGAGGCTCCCTGCAGGTGGCCATCCCCGACTCCGTCTTGACGCCTCCTGGAACCGAGGGAGGAGCAGGAGCAGTGAGGAAGCCTCCCTACAACGGAAGCTCAGCCCCGTCCTCTGCTTCCAGCGCTGCTAGTCTAGCTCCTCCCTCCAGCGCCTCCTCCGCCGACCCCCTGTCGCCTCCCCTCTCAGCTTCCCCCCGAGACAAGCAGCAGGGCACTCCCACCACCTCCTCTTCCTCCTCCTGCTCGTCCTCCTCTTCGTCCTCGTCCACTTCTTCTTCGTCGCTGCTGTACTCCGGCGACCTCGAGGCGCTGCAGCGTCTGCAGGCCGGTAACGTGGTACTGCCGCTGGTGCACCGGGTCACGGGGACTCTGGCCTCCACCAGCACGACGGCTCCGCGGGTCTACACCACTGGCACCATCAGGTACGCGCCGGCTGATGTCACTCTGGCCATGGCACAAGGCAACCTCCTCCCCAACGCCGCCATGAACTTCGTTGATGGCTCGGGGTTCGGCCTGGACCCTAAGACGCCCATGGAGATGCTCTACCACCACGTCCACCGGCTCAACATGTCGGCAGCCGCGGCCGCCGGCCCGTTTGTCGGATCTCCGGCTGCCACGGGAGGCAACGGCGCCCTGGGAGGCCAGATGCCAACGGCGGCCAACGTTTTCACCACGGCGGAGGGACTTTTCTCGACGCTACCGTTCCCGGTGTACAGCAACGGGATCCACACCACGCAGACGACTCTGGAGAGGAAGGAGGATTAACGCAAAACATCCAAGACCGCATTACTGTGTTTCCGGAATCAACAACTGTGTCAAAGCAAAAGACTACTCACTAGTAAAAAATGAACCTCTTTACTTGCTATCTTTTACCGACACGGTGCAGCACTGTGTTTCCGAGAGGGGAGAAAGGACAGGACAGGATGACAGATGTACTCTAGCACTTTGAATCTGAGCAACTGAGCTTGTGTAATAGACATGAATGACCCTCTTTTCTATCTTTTATCTCTCTCCTCTTCATCCTCTCCTCCTCTCTCAGTCTCTCCCTTTGCTCCCGTTTCTTGCGATCAGAAACATTTTTCTCTCGAAAAAATGAACAAAAAACAGACTATTCTTTATTGTAAAGAATTCCTTTTTTGCCTACAGAGAATTCATATTGCCTAAGGACTCCGCTGGAGCCTGACGGGGATAATTTTTATTATTTGACTTGTTTCTGTTGCATCTTTATGAAGATGCTGATTGTGTGTATTTAAAGGAGGACGTGCAGGGATTTGTAACCGACAGAAAACTCTACGTGGCGTTCCTCCTCAATGTATCTTGATGTGATCAAGGCTTGAAACAGAACGTTTTTAAACCGGAGGAAGGGGCCATGTTGCGCCCGACAAAGGTCTCAGAGATAATCTTTTGAAAAACGGTTTTTGAGGACGTTTCTCGATTGAGGGAATAGTTTAGAGAATTAATGCTGTTTTTTTTTCCTTTCATTTCTTCCTTTTTTTTTTAATAAAATATTCTAGCTCAGATTTAACTTACGAATCAAGCATTAAGAAGAAAAACAAAAAAAGCAATTTCAGCCGGGTAATGACCTGTGAATTATCGAATGTTACTACTTCCTCGTTTATCCCAGGAGTTTACCTACAGGTCTCGCACCAAACATAACCTCCTCCGCATCTCTTCCCATCTCGACCTCCCTTATCTTTCACTACCTGATCTTTAATCTTCCCGTCCACATTTCTACAGATTCGTGGTGCTACCGACCGTCCAGTAACCCTGATTCAGCTGGCTGATGTGGGTGCTGCAAACGAACCCACAGCTCGTTGACAGACTGGTTTCTTTTTTGGAGGGGGAACGATTTTAAAGCTTGTTTTCTGACCTTCAGGAAAGTCAGACTCCAAATCGGCAGCGTCACCTCCATGTTCCACCCTGCGTGTCCTCTGATTGGGCCACGAGGGGGCGCTCTGCACGGCAATATGGAGGTGGTCGGCTGAATTTGAAGCTCTATGGTGTTGTTTTTATTTGTATGTATTTTCTAACTGAATCACTTTTAATTCTCAGTGAGACTGAGGCTAATTAGCTAGCGATGCTAACTTGAAAAATGAATGTTGAAAACCTCGACCGGCTCCTGTTTGATCATCTTCTTCTTGGTTTTTCCTCCTCCTTCTTCTTCCTAAACCAGAATCACCTCCACGAGTTTTTCCTAAACAATCCGCTCTCTTCCATCTCATCGCCGGACCCTGTGATAAAAAACCACATATCAACAAGGAGATTGTAATAAAGACATGCATTTTCAATCAATCAATCAAACAATCAATCCAATAACTACAAGAAAAAAAAAAAAAAAAAGAATATGAATCTTTTTTGAGGAAGAGAAAAAAAACTCACATTCCTTTAAAACAACGTTGTCTTTGTCATTGTTCTCTGTTGTTTCCGTGTTTTCTTTCTTCCCCAGCCTCCGTTGCCAAAAAAAAGAAGAGTTTTGGTGTTTTAAAAAAGCACTGTGATTCATTTGTAAATTTTTTTTTCTTCTACTTTTTTGGTAAAAAGAGAAAAAAAAAAGATGAGAATAAGTAATAATAATTAAAACGGTATAAAAACTGTCCATCCTTTTGAAGTTGACAGCCCCGTCTTTGCCATCCCGTCATCCTTATTACCCAGTGTGATTAAGCCGTAAAAACGTGTTACCGATGTGTTTAGTGTCACTGGCTGTCAAAAAGTCTTTCATGGCGACTTCTCTCTGTGTGTGTTGACTATATGCAGTATATACTGAGCTACTGTAGCTGTTTTTGTCCTTTGTCTTCTCTGTGCTCTATCTCTAGTGTGGGGGAGGGGAGAGGGGCGGGGCTCAGACAGAGAGGGGCGGAGTCTGTCGGGATGATTGACACCCCGATAAAAAGGCGAAGCCCTGGTCTCCGTCGGCCCGTCTCTTTCTCTCGTCTCCTTCTATCTGCAGTCTTAGTGAAACCAGTGGAGGTTCGTGGAATTTCGTGTTCGGTGGCCTTTGCAAAAAACAAAAAAAAAAACTTTGTAGAGTCCACCTTTTCTTTCGCTGCTTCCTTTTTGTCTTTGTAAAACCTCTTTTTTTTTACTTTCTAATCCTTCCCTCTCTTTCTCTCTCTCTGCTATTGCTTTTTGCTGTTGTGTAGTCTTATACAAAACCTCTTTATCTTGCTGTCTTTTCTCTCAGAGACGAAAAGATTCTTTAACTAGCTCAAAGGTTTATGGAGCCATGTTTTTTGCCACTAAGGAATTCTGGGAATCGCAGTTTCCGGCTCTTTGCAAATCAAAGTATCAAATAACTAATAAATATTTACAATATATAGAAATTAATTATGGCGTGGAAAAGCCTCAAGTAGCATTTTAGATGTAGTCCTGGAACAACCATGAAACCCTCAGTTGCGAAACGTTTTCCCAGAGTCCCTTGGGGCTTCTTGTGTGCATTGGGTGTATTTCATTGGTTCCCACCAAAACTTGTTGACTTCCAAACTTCTCTCACGGGACAAACAGAGTTAAACAAGTGGTTCAAGGGGGGAGAAAAAAAAAAAAATCACAGTAGTCTTTCAGGACACGTAATAAAAAACGATTTTAAAGATTTCTAAAGAAACTAAAAGAAGAAAAAAATATTTCGCACTATAAATCTATTTTTATAGGTGTTTTGGAAAACCGAACTGCATGTTTAGTAAGTCGTCGATCGATCCCGCGTTTTTCGTTGAGTCTTTGGTTTTCGGTCCAGCAGTTCTTGTGTTTTTTTTAGAGTCTGTCGAGCCCGAGCGGGGACGAGATGGAGGCCTGAAGGAGGAATAAAGTCTGTACTGTCAAACCGACCGGGCCTCTAATCCTCCCCAACACATCAGGAAAACAATCTGTAGCGTCTGTGCTTTCTGTGGCGAATCAATGTCTTGTTACTGCGACTAACAACGAAAAAAAAAAAAAACAAACCCAGGTTATGAAATCGTACTTTTGTGTTCAATACGGGGAATGTGATCGGGGCCGCTCGATCCGTCGCTGGATTCGTTCGTGGTTGAATGTCAAACTTCAGGAGCATTTTGTTTCCGCGCTCCGCTGGATTTTCTACTTTTGGCGGTTTTGCGTGAAAGCGGGGGGGCGGGGCTTAACGAACGGCCATGTTTGGCGAAGAAATAAAAAAGGGGGGGACGAGGACGCGGTGGCGGCGGTAGGGGGGTGGGCGGGACACACAACTCAGACGAAACCAGGAAATACACCCACATGTAACAAAAACCAAACAGCCGGTCCAAGCTGTTTCAATGTTTTTTCTGTGTTTTATGTCGAAAAATGAAAAACTTTGCTGGTGATTTTAAAAACTTAAAAACCTTAATCACAGCTGCTGTCAAAAATACATAGTGTTTAAGAATTACAAATATTGAAAAATCACTTCATTTACCTGTGAAGAAACTGTGTCTGTGTTTTTAACTATTTCTTGTACAATTATACAGATTCTTTTATGAGGAACTTGGTGCCAAGTAGCTGAAATACGGGAGAGAGGGAATCTCTTATTATCAATGTTAACAGTGTTATAAAATTCTAAATACAAACAAATTAAAATATTAAAAAAGAGAAAACTATGGTACATTTCTATTTTTTGTTTTAATTTTTCTCCCTCGCAGCAGAGCGGAGAAACTCACGACTAACTGATGCTAACTTTGAGTGCCTGGCTTATTTTCTATTATTATTATTATTATTATTATTATTATTATTTTCGAAGGACATCTTTTTGAGTTCATTTACCATGAATAATGCTGCAAATCCGAAAATGTACATACTTCATTTTTATAGCAGTTGTTCTTTTATAAGTTTACTAGGTTCTCATCCGTTCAGAGGAACATGTCACATACATGGTTGTCTTTCTGTAACCCGGTTTTGACCATCTGACAGGTGCCATATTCATAATAAAAACTTCTCTCGAATTTGTTACCAGATTGCATCATTTCTTCTGTTTGACACATTCAGCCATCCTCCCGCCTCTCGCATAAATACCAGGAAACTCCTCTTCTTTCTGTTCTTCCTTCTTTGTTTTCTGATTCCTTCTCAGACATTTTACAATCAGAACCTTGTGCTAAACGGACCGATGTTTTATGCACAACTCAGAACGCTGTCTCAAAGCCAGGGATGTCCCCGTCGTGTCTTTCTGGCCCTGATCCGATCTGAGTCACTTAATATTTAGTATCTGCTGATATAGAGCCCCAATCTGATGCCATTTTCCTGATAAAACACACTTCAATTAGATGAAAGCTATTAGAATCGGGGTAGGATGTACCGAGGCTCCACAAGCTCTACAAGACGGAGAAAGCCTGTTTTCTCTACATGATGTCAGAAAATCTATTGTAGATTTACTAGAAAGTATTTTTTGCATTTTGGAATTCATTGCTCGTCCTGACCTGCACCATACCTGAACCAGAACCATTTAGCATGTTGCTTTAATGCCATAAAACGACAAAAAGCCAAACAAGCTGACAAAAGACACATGAGATGTTTCAGAGAGGGCATACCGTTTATATGGACTACCATGATATTACATTCACATGTTAGAGATGTTCGAGGTTTTCATTCATTTTTATCTGGTTTGGTCATTTAGTTTTTCCTATCTGTAAATACTGAGTCCCAATCAATACCACTTTCCTGATAATACACACTTTAACTTAAAAT